TTCACTGCTCAGTTACTGTGTAATTTTTACTAAGTCACTTATCCAACTAAGTCATTACCAAAAATCACTCTCTGTCTTTATTAGAATGAAACAAAGTTATCTGACTTTCCCTTTTACAAAGCTGCAACAAGAATGCAGAGAAAAAATATTAAAATATCTTTAAAATACTAAAGTTTGGCAAACAAAAATGTTTTGGAATATATAAAAATGAATTTTAAGTTATTCCCTTTTAGGTATTCAATCTTACTATTTTATAGAACTGCCTAAAAAATTTCTCTGAAACAAAATTAAATGCAGAATTTGCTACTTAGGAATGTGTCTTGAAGTGTCCAGAGATGGACAAATGCTTACTGTATTCAATATGCGCACATGTAAGAGACAAGAGGAAAAGAATCTTTTGTGTTTTCATGAAGTCTATGGCCAAAGGAGGAGACTTGAAAGTTAAATAAAAACCCAAACACTTTTAAGACAAATATAAAAGGGATCTCATAAGGCAATAATTGACTAAAAGCAGAAAGAAAAGTAAGACTCTTTTCCTAGTGAGATGATTACCACAGCTTTACTCTTCCATTCACATGTGATCTACTATCTACTTACATTTACCATTCACACAAAACACACTCAATTCTATTCTATATTCCCTTTTTCCTCTGGCCCCTGATCCCAAAGCTCTCCGACTGTCCTATCACTAAGGAATCCAACATGCCTCAGATAGACTTCAAGTTCCCAGCACACAATGAGCATTCAAGATGAGTCAATTTTCTAAATTTTGCAATACAACCCTTAAAAATGACACTAACAAATAGGCATGTGGTACCTAACTGTCAAGGCAACACGACTACTGTAATAGCATTATAAGAGCCTCTCTCAATCATTACATCCAGTTACCTGAGTAAAGAGATATGGAGAGCTGTGAATAATCCAAAATAATTGACTGTTTCTAAGCCATGTGAAAATAAGCCCATACTCATACTCTATCTCCTGCTACTAAATCTCAATGTCCTTCCAGCTAGCCAAATCAACAATCAATAGTCTAAGACCCAGCTAGGTAAGAGAGGACGAAAATCCAGAAAATTCACAAAGAATTACCAAAATGATCATTTCTCTCAATTATATCACTGCTTTTCGAGTTGACAAATATCAATTATTATGCATTTTCAGGGCTTGTAAGATATAAGGTAAGGATAGTTTATCTAAAAGGAAAAATAAATTGCATACCAAGTATTTTACTTAAAACTTCCAACTTAGAAGTCTGGATGAAACTGCTAAATTCTAAAACTGGAAAACATATAAAGGAAGCCAAAGTGGTTAAGTACTTCAAACATGAAATGAGCCGTGGGAAGGGGGGAACAAACTACAAAATGAAAAAAGAAACAACACAAAAATTTTAGGGTTTAACTGAAAACAACAGCCCAGTATTGCTACTCTTTTCAAAAATGTTTAGAATCATTTGGAGATGGAAACTTTGTATCAAATAATCAAGAGTCCCTAAAGTGCAAAACTAAAATGTGTAAATGTGTTACAAAGAACTTTCCATTTAATATTTTAAGATTTCTAGAATGACCAAAATTAAATATAGATTTAATTCTTGCCAATTTTTTTTTGGGGGGGGGGTACTAGGGATTGAACTCAGGACCCTGGGCTTGGGAGGTAGGGGGCGGAACCACTGAGCTAAATCCCCGGCCCTATTCTTGCCAATTTTAACTATCATCATGAGCATACTATTCTCTTAAAAACAGTTTCTTAAAATATAACCTAACTATAATTTTACTTGGTGATTCGTGACTGTGTTCTAGGAAGAAACAGTAGGAAGAAAAAAGAAAAACAGGAAAGACTGCCTCAAAGGGCTCACATGAATGTGAAAATCACCACCTTGAACTGTATAGGGAGAATTCCAGCAATATTGTACATAGAATTTCCCCAGCATCATAGGTGTGCCAGAATATCAAGCCTCCCCTCCTTAATATTTCACAAAAAGCTACCTGGTCAGGTGCTTCGAGTTCCAACAACCTCATCCACCTTGGTGTGCTACGCAAAAATTATTTTTTAAATCAGGCATGTTGGCACATGCCTGTAATTCCAGCACTGGGGGTGGCTGAGGCAAGAGGATCGCTTTAAGTTTGGGGCCAGCCTGGGCTACGTAGTTCAACACTAGCACCCCACCCCCATTTATTTTTTGTGTGGCGTGACCTTCAAAGAAAAGACTGAACATATTAGATCAGTTTCAACCTCAACTTTAATGCATATATTCTTTTTTTTTTTTGGTACCTGGGATCAAAGTCAGGACCTTGTGCTTGCAAGGCAGGCGGCGGAACCAATGAGGAGCTAAATTCCCGGCCCTTAAAGCATATATTCTTATGTAGGAATTTCAGACTACTCAATTTCACTGCATCAATCTTTAAAGACTAACTTATTTCTTTTACTAATCAAATCCCATATTACATTTGTATAATCCAGCATATTTCTGAAATACAGTTCCTTCTAAAAGAGCTTAAATAACCTCTTCAGCAACAATAATATCCTGGTGTAGGAAAGATAAACAAATCTAATAAAAGCTTTTTAGACAAGGACATGGTCAGATTAGCACTCTGTATCATGGCATACTTTTTCCTAACTGAAATCCCCAAAATACTGATATCCTAACTTCCTTCCATGCTGTTTCTCCACAGCACTATCACTATCACCTGCTAATATAATACACAACTTAAATATTTTGTTCATGTCTCCCTCAACTAGATGATTAAATCTACAAAAGCAGACATATTATTTTTGTTCACTGCTGTCTCCAACACCTATCTAGGTGCTTGATATATAATTGGCTCCCCCAAAATACGTGCTGAGTGAGTAACACAATCATTTGGTTGTAGTTTTATGTATCATTTAGTTATTTTGAATCGTTAACCTCTATTACTAAGATGACCAGGAAATAAATTTTATACAACAAAGATATAGAATAAACACACAGAAAGCAGTATGGTGTTTCAAAAAGTCTGATTTTTCTATGTTAAAATATTTTAAAGATATTTTCAGAAAACCTCATCAAGTTGATGTACTAATTAAAATAGAAAACATCAGTTTTCCATTTCTCTAATTAGAAGACAAAGGAAGAAAGAACAGTGATAAGACTACCAGAGGTAGTACTAAAAGCACATTTAAAACACACTATTGTACCAACAAATATTTTATTCTATCACTTAAATTACTATGCAAAATTCAAGATTATCAACATCTCTCTTAAAAAGAAATCTGCCTTTTCCAAATACTTTAAGTCTAAATCCAACACTACCCTCTTGTCAAATACAACCACAAGTGCTGTGGATTTTAATCCTAATTTTTAGTTTTAAATAATGTTTATATCTTAATTCAGATAACAATCTTAAACTGGTTATAACAAGTAATGTTTTAATCTTAATATAGATAAAAATCTTCAAGCAGTCATATACCTCATCTACTATTCAACTAGTATTCCACACTTCCTTTTTTGGCCTCAAATGACGAAACTTCTCTAACATCTCTGGGGAAACTAGTATAAAGTATAATGTTTCCTGAAATTGTTCTTGTTTTTCCCTGCACCATTTTGCAACATCTCTTCACTTAGAAATGTTTCGTGCAATTTTATTGTTCTGAAGGAAAAGCAAGAGGGAGAAGCAAAGGTGAAAGGAATACTGTAAGGAAAACAATTCGAAAGGGAGTAACTAACATAAACCACAGAAGTACGTATGAGGCAAAGAAAAAAAACCTGCACAAAAGAGGAAGATACAGAAAAGAGAAGAAAAACACTTCTAGTACAGAAAAAGAAAAACCGGAGAGGATAAAGACTTGTTTATTCTAGAAACAAATTCTAAGAAAAACGTGATTTCTTAAGTGCCATTAAAACTCCAGAAGGCAATTTAGTTGACACTCCTAATGAGAGTGCTACCTTTTCTTTTAACATGTTTTGATAAGGCTAGTCTTATCTGTGAATTAAGCACAAGCTGTAGATAATGCAATCTCTTAAAAACTACAGTAGTAGTTGTCATCTTCGCCGGAATAAAACAAACTTCCTGGAGGCGAGGGGGCAGTAAATTAAGTCGGAAAGCCAGAAAACCACGCCTTGACAAATCTGGTAGATAAAACACTGGTTAACAAACACCTCTTACCAAACTAAGGCTCCACTAAAGGTCTGGGAAAGAAAGGCAAAGAACTATAGCCTTAGCGCGGCCGCAAGGGTGGAGCATGGTAGGAAAAAATAAGAGGGCGAGTTATCCCGAGAGGTTTGTTTAAGAGAGCTGAGTGACTAGGATTTGGAGTTTGCACACCAGGCGGCAAATGAGGCTGGTGTACTAAGGGCAATTTGGGGGGAGTGAGAAAGTGGGCTCCTGGAGAATGTTGGTGGGTGCCCAAGCTGACTGATGTACCTACGGGGCAAAGAATTGAGAGTCGAAGGGAAGAGAGCGAAGCGGACCAAGCGAAGTGTGGAAGCCGGGCATGGGAGGCCTGGGCAGAGGCCGCCGAGCGCCGACTGCAGCCAGCCGCCTTCTCCGGGAACGCCTTTCCAGCTCCCCCACACTCAGCCCCTCTCGGGGCCGCCCCTGCCCCGGTGACAACGGCTGGCGCAGCTGTTTCCGCAGGGCCGGGCACCGCGGAGGAAAAGACATCCCTAGGGCGGACAGGGAGGCCGGCATGCCAGCCGTCTATGAGTGCGGGAGGCGATTCCGAGACCACCACTGAAGAGCCAACGCCAAACTTCGCTCTTTCTTCCCTTAAACCCTCTTTATCCCCCAACTTCCCGGCCGACTGGTGCTCGCTTAGACCAAGCGAGACGCCCCCCCCCCGCCCTTCCTTTCGCAGCCTCTCACCCCTCCCTGACGCCCTGAGCCTAGGAGACGACCGACACCAGCCACTGAGACCACCTCGGAGTCCGCCCGGATGGCCAGGAGTCCCGGACACCGTCCCCACCCAAACACTAGCAGCCTCTCGGCGGCTCCCGCGCCCGCCCAGATGCAGCAAACTCCTCTCACCTGCATTGACGCCATGATGGAACCATCCCCCCAAGGCCAGCGAGGCCAGAGACGCAGGGGGCGGAGCTGCCGTGCTCGCGTCACACCGCGGGGGCCCAACCTCCCGGGCGCGGGGGCGGGGCGCCCGATGGGAAGGGGATGGCCCGAGCGGATTGGCTGGCGCGCCGGGACCCGCGGGGGGGCGGGGCCGTGGTAACTGGCTCCGCGGGTAACCTGGAGCCCAGCGGGCGTCTGCCTCCGGTACCCGAGGCAAAGCAATCGCTGCTGCAGTTTTGACTCAACCTCTGTTACTGATTTTTGACACTCTTCTGTTTTCTGAGATCCTGATGATGTCTAGATCCGTGCGATTGTTTTTTCTGTTTCGTTTTCTGTTTCCAACTACAGATGTACGGTTGACAGATTTTTCCTTTCGGGTGTCTTTTCCACACCAAGCCCACTTTCACAGCCTTGGGGGCCAGGTTAAAGTTCGCCCACGACTACTTTCTGGTCTATACGGATCTGAAAAACTCGCATGACTAATTTGAGGAAGACAGACACAGTTTTCCTGTGCAAAGGGATGAGAACTGAGCAGAACAACACTCGTATACTTGAAATACAAGGGCATTTAGATTTGTAGAACTGAAACTTGTCTGAAAGGAGAGGAGAAAGAATTTTGAAGTTTTTCTTTTGTTTATACGCAATTTTTCTCTCCCTAACTCCAGCCTCCTCAATCTTAGATTTCACGACTATGTTATTAATAGCTATGGTTATTACGGCAGTCAAAATTTGCTTAGAGATTTAACCCTAGGCATGAATTTACTTTAATATTCCAACGTCACACTGTGATATACGCTTAGACCTTCCATCATGTCCATAGGCTGTTCTTTTCAGCCTATTTCATGGTGAACAGTTTTTTGGTTGGCAGTTGGGTGGTCATCGGACCTACGGATATGTTTGGGTAAGAAAAGCTGAGCACAGAAAATTTATTCTAGGAATGCACCAGTTCTGCCAACATTTATCAGAATCCACATTTTTGAAGGCTCCTCCGGAACTGAAGATGTCATCGGTTTATAAGGGGAAATAGAAGCCAAAAGCTTGCACTTCGTGTTCCATCTCAAAAAATAAAGTAGCTGACACATTGAATAAAAGGTTTTTACTTTACCAGAATGAAAGCTCAATATCTGTCATTTTATTGATTTGGTTTTTTTTAAGACATTTCTCTAAGATGTAAATATAACCAATGTAGGACATCATTCTTCACACTCTGTAAAGATAGATTGTTCTCTGGGAACATCCATAATGTGACGTGTTCAAAATGGAAAGAGATCTTTAAAATATGGCGTTTTCTATGATATAATACTAAGCACACTAGCTCCTCACTAACGAAGAAGTTATATTGATATATTCCCTCATACTTCCACTCTATTGCCAGAAATGGGCTGCTTTTCTTTTTTTGTGTATAAAATGACTTTGTCTTTGAGGAAATATGAATGCTGTTGGAAATCAGGAATGAACCAGAAGCATATCAGGTGTTAATCCAGTTCTACTGTGAACATTACAACAGTGAGTGAAACCACATATTTTAATGAAAGATGAAAGCTTATAGAAAATGTTTCCAGATATATTTTCTCCTAGAGATTTCTTCTCCTATGATCTCAGGAAATTGCTCCAGAAGAACAGGTTTTACCATGTAAGTTTCACCTTGCCTAAAAGTTGACTCTTCCTAAAGGTCTAAGTGACATTGGGTGACCCCACAAACAAAGCTTTATGGCTTCATCAGAGCAACAGCCTGCCAAGACAAATACTAACAAGGAAGAAGAGTGATTACAGGAATTCTGACTTTGCTTACAGAACTAATATATGGTCCCTGGGGTTTTATATGTGCTAAGGGGATCTTCACAGGAGGGAAAAGTCAATACCAAGTCATATATTTCCAAGGACATACTAAATTGAGCTCCATTAAGTATCTTCTTCATTCTTTCATTAGTATGATAGAAGTGTTAAAGTTTGTAGCTTGGTGGTAAAGTTTATGCCTAGCATGCATGATGCCCTGGGTTTAACCCTCAGCACCAAAACAAAACAAAAAAATATATGAGATGCTGACATTCAGAAGCTGAAACAATGACTTTCAGAGGGTATAGGAGAGTATATAATTATCTCTGATGACCATAAAATGTTCATATCTAAAACACTTGATTATATAATATTTGAAGACTAGGCTCACATCTCATTTCTTTACAGAGTGAGGCTTACTATCATATAGCCAGGTGCTAAAATGTCTAACGATACCGTAAGTGTAAGAGGAAGTGGATCCCTCATAAACTCTATAGGAGTGAAAGCGAGACAATCACTTTACACTTGATCTTAGCCAAAAGGCTGAGAAGCGATTGAGACAATCACTTTAGAAAAAAGTTCAGCAATAATAAAGTTAAAGCTTCCCATATCCTTACAGAATCTTTTTGATAGCATCATTTGTAGTAAGGATATTTAAAACACATGTTAAATGCATTATATCCATCTCATTTGGGTCCTGATTTAAGCAAACTAAGATATTTTTGAGACAAGTGGGGAAAATTAAACATAGACTGGATATTAAATGATATTGAAGAATGATTATTTTTGTTAGATTTGATAATGGAATTTTTTTTTTTTGGTACTGGGGATCGAACTCCTGACCTTGCACTAGCAAGGCAGGTGGCAGAACCACTGAGCTAAATCCCCAGCCTGATAATGGCACTTTTTAAAAAATTTCCACAGCATTTGGAAATGACTGTCAGGTTACAAGGAGAGGCAATTCTCCCTTGACTACATCGAAGGGCCTACAAAAGGATCATTGAGCTGCAACATTGATAATCTAGTCTGATTTATGGATGCTTTTGTTCTATTGATTAGACTGGAAAGTCAAAAGCAGTCCTATGAAGATCTGCTGGTTGGAGCATGAAAAGGCAGAGTAGTTGAAGCAGAAATCCTTGCTTGTGTCTATGTCTCCACAGAGTAGTTTGTTGTTAGTGGCTGATCTTAACAGAGAAATTAAGGTGATTCAACAGTCAACAACTTGCTTATTGCATGTTAGAAAAGGCACTAAAAAAGGGCCGAAGATTTAGCTCAGTGGTTCCACTGTTTGCCACGCAAACACAAGGTCCCGAGTTCAATCCCTGGTACCAAAAAAAAAAGAAAAGAAAAGGGATTAAATAAAGAACTCAAAGTTTGCATTCTTTCCCTAGTTCTATCATTAGCAAGCTTGATCAAGGCTCCCCTCGCCTTACTAAGGATTGACCCAAGGTCTTTAAGCAACATCCTTGCTACCCCTTTTTTTGAGACAAGGTCTCACTAATTCACCCAGCCTGGGCCTAAATCTGTGATCCTCCTGCCCCAGCCTCCCAGAATGCTGGGGTTGTAGGCATGTGACACCATGCCTTGTTTGGGTTTGATTCGTAGTAAAAGTTTGCAAGTCAGGCCACATAATCTTTACAGTTTCATCCGAATTTCAAATTCCATGCATTCAGTAAAGAAAACAAATTTTCTTTTCTTTTCTTTTGCTTTATTTTGAGACAGAGTAACCCCCCCATAGTACAGGCTGGCCTTGAGCTTGTGATCTTCTTGCCTGAGCCTCCCAAGTGCTAGGACTATAGTCATATGCCACTGCTCCCATCTAGAACTTCAGAATTTTAAATGATTTGATTAAAATACCATGTTAAAGGACTGGGATTGTAGCTTCATGATAGGGTGCTTGCCTGGTACATATGGGACCTTGGGTTCAATCTCCAGCGCAAGAGAAAAAAGGGTGTATGTGTGTGTCTAAAATAATGAGATGGGGCTGGGGATGTAGCTCAGCAGCATGGCACCTACCTGGCAAGCGTGAGGTCCTAAGTTCGATCCCTCGTATTAAAAAAAAGGGGGGGGGCTGGGGATTTAGCTCAGGGGTGCCACCGCCTGCCCCACAAGTGCAAGGTCCTGAGTTTGATCCCCAGTACCAAAAAAAAAAAAAAAAAGATAATAGGATGGGAAAATTGTACCGTTTTAAGTTTTAAAGTCACTTTTGTAAATATAGTAAGGAATGAACTTGGCTTCGTTGTATTTATATAGAAATACTTTGAGGCTTTAGTTAACAATTTTTAAATGCTGACTAGTTCTAGTGGGATTTCATTTCATGAAGTAGTAAAAACTCCATATTTTCCATATTCACAATTTAGAGTAATACTTTAAGAAAAGCATGTCTATAAAGCAAAAATTATTATTTTTAAAAATTTGAACCCAACTCAGTAATTTCATGTAAATCTAATAAAGGACAAAGAAAATTAATAATATAACTAATATATCAATGGTTTGTATGTTTGGCTTATTCTGTGTGCCTTATTCTACACGTCAAAATAGTTGATTCTTATTTGCAAACAAAATTGTGAACCAGGAAAAAATTTACATATGCTCCAAATAAACCCAACATAAATTGAAAATATCACAAGTTGAAAATGCAGCTTGGTGTGGCATGACGGCATATGACTGTAATCCCAGCTGCTCCAGATGCTGAGTTAGGAGGATCACAAGTTTAGCCAGGACAACCTGGTGAGACCTGTCTCAGAAAAAAAAAAAAAGATAAAGGGCGGGAAATACAGCTCAGTGTAGAGTGGTCCTGAATTCCACCCCAGTATCTCAAATAAACAAAAATGTATCAATATACCTAAGCTGCTAAGCATCCCAAGTTAACCTGGCCTACCTTAATCTTGCTCAGAACACTTACATTAGCCTAAAGTTGAGAAAATCATCTAATACAAAGCCTCTTCTATAATGAAGTGATGAATAGCTCATATATTTTATTTTGAACTGTATACTGAAGATGAAAAATAGAATGGTTGTATGGGTACAGAAGACATGGATGGGCATTTTGTAGATATGATGGATCCAAAAATGCAAGATACAACATCCAAAGAATATTATCTACACAGCCTACGGTAGCATATGGTTTGCTTCCCCTGGGATGAAGGGGCTGATGGGAAGCTGAAGCTCACTGTTACTGCCCAGCCTCTCCAGAGACTACTGTACCATGTCTCACCAGCTCAAGAAAAGATCAAAATCCAAAATTTGAAGTGTAAGTTCTATTACATGTGTATCACTTTTATACCACCATAAAGTAAAAAAGTCATGTTGAAACATTACAAATCAAGGATTCTCTGTACTTTATTCTTTTCCCTGAGGCTATCTAGCAAAAGTTCTTTTACCCAGGTCTGTAGCCCTTTCTTATTTCTTCCCAAAGGCCTCTTGACAAGCATGTTCTTTACAAGTTACTACTTGAAAAGGCTGTAGTTCCTTTTGACCCATGGACGCTTTTAAAATTTGATGGTATGCCAAATCCCAGC